AGATTCTTAGCAGTCAATATTAGTTGGTTTTCATCTGCTGATAAAAACATACCTGAGACAGGGCAATTTACAAAAGAAAAGGGTTTATTGGACTTACAGTTCCACATGTCTGAGGAGGCATCACAATCGGCAGAAGGTGAAAGGCACATCTTACGTGGTGGCAGATGAGAGAGCTTGTACAGGGAAACTCCCCTTTTAAAAACCAACAGATCTCATGAGATTTATTCATTATCATGAGAACAGTTCAGGAAAGACCCACCCTCATAATTCAATCACTTCCCACCAGGTTCCTTCCACAACACATGGGAATTGTGGGAGTTACGATTCAAGATGAAATTTGGGTGGGACACAGCCAAACCATATCACTGTCTTTCTGTTTCTCCATTTTCAAAACAACAGCTAGAGTGGTTCTGTCAAAATGAGAGTTCAATATTATCTCCATTTTGCTCAAAACTCTTCAGTGGTGGCTGGGTGCAGTGGCTAACATTTGTAATCCCATTTTAGGAGCCAAAGCAGGCAGATCACTTGGGCTCAGGAATTTAAGATCAGTGCGGACAACATGTTGAAATCCTGTCTTTACAAAAAATACAAAACTTAGCTAGGTGTGGTGGCCTCTGCCCCATGCCCCAGCTATTCTAGATGCTGAGTTGTAAGGATCACTTGAGACTAGGAGGTTGAGGCTGCAGTGAGTTGTTATCAAGCCACTGTACACCAACCGGGGTGACAGAGTAAGACCCTGTCTTAAAAAAAAAAAAAAACCCTCTTTAGTGGTTTTTAAATTTAATATGTAATAGAAGCCAAGGTCTTTATTATGACCTATAAAGCCAACACGATCTGAATCCTGTTACTCTTCTGATTTAATATTTTTCTTTTCTTTTTTTGGAGACAAAATCTTGCTCTGTTGCCCAGGCTGGAGTGAAGTGGTAGTCATGATTCACTGCAACCTCAATCCCTAGGGCTCAAGCGATCCTCCCACCTCAGCCTCCTGAGTAGCTGGGACTACAGATGTGTGCCACCACCACACCTGCTGATTTTTTTTGTAGAGCTAGGATCTCACTATGTTACCCAGGCTGGTCTTGAACTTCTGGCCTCAAATGATTCTCCCACCTCAGCTTCCCAAAATGCTGAGATTATAGGTGTGAGCCACCGCACCCAGCCTAATCTTTTTCTTGCATCCGACGTCACTATACCACCAATCCCAGGTCACTCCACTTCAGCCACATTGGCCTCCGTGAACATCCCACAGGAATACTCACTGTTCCTTCTGCCTGAAATGTGCTTCTTTCAGATAACCTCACAACTCACACCCTCACTTTCTTTACATCTTGACTCCAGAGTGGTTTCTTAGTGAGGCCTCCCTTAGCCCCCTGATGAAAATGTCATTTATTTCTCTTTTTAATAGAATCCTTTAAACAAAAGAGAGGATACTTTCCATTCAGGTTATATTTCTCTAGAAAACACTAATCTGAAATTATGCCATGGTGCACCCTCGCAGAACACAGTAAGAAAGTATAGGTTGGGCCGGGGGCAGTGTCTCAGGCCTGTAATCCCAGCACTTTGGGAGGCTGAGGTGGGTGGATCACGAGGTCAGGAGATTGAGACCATACTGGCCAACAAGGTGAAACCCTGTCTCTATTAAAATACAAAAAATTAGTCAGGCGTGGTGGCGTGCACCTATAGTCCCAGCTACTGGGGAGGCTGAGGCAGGCAAATCGCTTGAACCTGGGAGGCGGAGGTTGCAGTGAGTCAAGATCACGCCACTGCACTCCAGCCTGGCGACAGAACAAGATTCCATCTTAAAAGTAAGTATAGGTTGAATATCCCTTATTTGAAATGCTTGGAGCCAGAAGTGTATTCAGTTTCAGACTTTTTGAGATTCATCTACCAGTTGACTGTCCCTAACCTGAAAATGTGAAATGTTCTGATAAGCATTTCTTTTTTTTTTTCTCATTATTATTTTTTAAACACCACCTCTCAGCAGGAGCAATAAGCATTTCTTTTGAGCATGATATCAGCTCTCAAAGAGTTTTGGATTTTGGAGCATTCCGAATTTTTAGATTAGGAATACTTAGCCTGTAGTAGAGTAACAGATCTACATTAGGGAATGATAGAGATCACCCTTGACTAAGCTTGAAAACTGGTAGCTCTGCTTAGGATAATGTAATGACTGAATAGGACCAAAGCTTACAGGGTCAGAATGTACTGGCGTATTGTGCACTTTCACTGCTTTCTATTTTCACTTTCCCCAGTAGAAACCTATGTAAGTTTATACAAATAATCTCTCAGGATCTGCCAGCTCTTAGAGCATCTGTCTTCTTGGTGTCCAGCTAAGTTAATGGCTTCATTGTGAATATTCCATTTGGCATTTTATTTGTGATATCCCTTACCATCAACTCTACGCATGTTTGCTTGTAACCAAAAACTTAATGCATAGCAAAATAGGAAATGCTGTATTTTGGTGTACAAAGTCCCTCTACGTTGTTATGATTTGATATATTTCCAGGCCATAAAGTAGAAAATACTTAACTTCTTAAGGTAAATAATATACAGGGAGTTCCTAGAGAGGGAACAGATTTTATGTTCCCTGTGTGATTGTGCTCCTTAAACATTATCACATTGAAAACCGTGGTAGTCAGTCCATTTAAAGGCCCATTCACCTCCTTACACTGCTCCTATGCCAGGCACGGTGGCTCACACCTGTAATCCCAAGTGCTTTGGGAGGCTGAGGTGAAAAGATCACTTGAGGCCAGGAGTTGAAACCAGCCTGGGGAACATCTGAGATCCCATCTTTACAAAAAATTATAAAACTAGCTAGACATGGTGGGTGCATACCTGTGGTCCCAGCTACTCAGGAGGCTGAGGCAAAAGGATCCCGTGAGCCCAGGAGTTCAAGGTTGCAGTGAGCTGCGATCACACCCCTGCACTCTAACCTAGGTACAGACTGAGACCCCGTCTCAGAAGGAAAAAAGCTGCTCCTGATGTTTCTGTTTACCAGCTGCACGCAGTGTCAGGGAGTGTGAGTAGGCCAGTCTAACTCTGGTTTTCCTGTGCTCTGAGACTTTCTAAAGAGTGAGTCTTGTCATAAGATATGTAAATAATCACAGAAAGCCTGTAGTGACCCCCTTCATTCTCTGTCCCTAAATATTTCAAGGACTCTAAGTTCAGATACCTAGTGTTTTCAAACCCAAGATATTTTAGGCTAACTTTTTTGTTTAATTCTATTTACTTTTTACATATGGTTCAAAAATCAAGAAGTTAATTAGCGTACAGTGAAGAGTTGTCTTGCCTCATATTCTCCCAACTTCCCAGATCCTTGGCCTTCTCTGTATCTTTCCAGAGTTTCTTTTTACATGTACAAGCAAATATAAATATCAATTATTTGTCTTCCTTTTTTTTTTTTTTTTTTTTTTTTTTGAGCTGGTGTCTTGCCGTGTCACCCAGGCTGGAGTACAGTGGTGCCATCTTGGCTCACTGCAACCTCTGCCTCCCAAATTCAAGGGATTCTCCTGTCTCAGCCTCCCGAGTAGCTGGGCTTACAGGCACGAGCATGACACCTGGCAAATTCCTGGCTAATTTTTGTATTTTTAATAGAGATGGGATTTTACCATGTGACCAAGCTGGTCTCAAACTCCTGACCTCAAGTGATCTGCCTGCCTTGGCCTCCCAAAGTGCTGGGATAACAGGTATGAGCCACCATGCCGGGCCTCCTTGTCTTGCCTTTTTTAGACACCATTCTTCACCTGCTTTTTTTTTTTTTTTTAATCAAAAAAAGCATACCTCATAGACACTTCTCTCACAAATGTTTTACAGCTTTATGTTATTCCATTGTATAGAATGGAATGTTATAATTTATGTATTAATCAGGCACTGTTGGCAGACATTTAGGTTTGTTTCTAATTTTTTGTTAATAATCTTGCATGCTATGCCCATGTGATAGTACATTCCAAAGCCGATCTTAATTTCATGGGACTACTGTAAACACAAAACGACTGGCTATGACCAAGAGGTTCTACTTTAATTGGTTCATCTAGTATCCTATTCTGAGATGGGCGTTGAGTTACTGGAGAATAAGAGAAAATAATGTTATCAAACCTTGGATGTCAGGAAAACTGTTTCCATTTAGCTTTTTAAGTAGAGCAATTCTCCTACATACTGTTATCCTTCAGAAATTTTAGAGGCATCCTTCACTAATTGTTTTTCCTCTTCCTCCCCCACCAGTCCAGTTAGTCACCACGTGTTGTGATCCTTCCATCCTGTTACCAGTTGTATTTGTCTGTTTTCTGTTCCTACTTCTGTATCGTATTCAGCCTAGTTATTCACACCAGGATCTGTCTGCACTCCATCTTTTCTGTGCTCTAATTGATCCTAACACTGGTAATGGATAATGGTAATGGGTTTTTGTTTTGTTTTTTTGAGGTAGAGTCTTGCTTTGTCACCCAGGCTAAAGTGCAGTGGTGCGATCTCGGCTTACTGCAACCTCCGCCTCCCAGATTTAAGTGATTCTCCTGCCTCCACCTCCTGAGTAGCTGGGATTACAGGTCTGTGCCACCACACTGGCTGATTTTTGTATTTTTAGTAGAGGTGGGGTTCATTATGTTGGCCAGGCCGGTCTTGAACTCCTGACCTCAGGTGATCCACCTACCTCAGCCTCCCAAAGTTAATGGATAATGTTTATTGACTGCCTGCTGTGTTCTAGGCACTTTGCCATTTGTCATGTATTGACCATTTCAATCCTCATAACTGCTCTGAGATAATGGAACTATTTCCACTTCACTGGTAAAGAAACAGAGGCTCAGGGATTTTATATCTAAGAGGTGGTACAGTCAAAGAGAGATGGGAATGCGTTCCTTCAAACTAGAAACGCCGCACTGGTCAAGAGAAGGCAGAGGAAAAAGTGGGTGGAGGAGATGGAGATTTTTATGGAAGAGGGATATAGGATATAGGTGAATAAACGAAGTTAATTGTAAGAACATGCCAGACAGGGAAATAATGAGTAAGCCGTGCTCGCTTCAGCAGCACATATACTAAAATGGGACCGATACAGAGAAGATTAGCATGGCCCCTGTGCAAGGATGATATGCAAATTTGTGCAGTGTTCCATATTTAAATATATATACATATATATATGGAAAAAAGATAAAAATAAAAAAATAATGAGTAACCCAAGAAGACTGAATTTTGCATAGTTGGCAAATGCTGCCAGACAAGTTCACATTGAAATGTTGCATCAGTTCATTTGGAAAGCTTTTAAAAAATATTGTTGGTTCCTAATCCCACCCCAAAGCTGCTTCTGAATCAAATGGTCTTATTCTGATGCATATCCAGACCAGGGAATCATTGACTGAAGAAAGAGGAGGGGCTGGGAGTGGTGGCTCACACCTGTAATCCCACACTTTGGGAGGCCGAGGCGGGTGGATCACCTGAGGTCAGGAGTTCAAGACCAGCCTGGTCAACATGGTGAAACCCCATCTCTACTAAAAATACAAAAAATTAGCCGGGCATGGTGGTAGGCACCTGTAATCCCAGCTACCCAGAAGGCTGAGGCACAAGAATCACTTGAACCAGGGAGGCAGAGGTTGCAGTGAGCAGAGGTCATGCTGTTGCACTCCAGACTGGGCAGCAAGAGTAAAACTTGATCTCATAAAAAAATGAATAAAAGGCCGGGCGCGGTAGCTCAAACCTGTGATCCCAGCACTCTGGGAGACCGAGGCGGGTGGATCACGAGGTCAAGAATTCGAGACCATCCTGGTCAACATGGTGAAACCCCGTCTCTACTAAAAATACAAAAAATTAGCTGGGCATGGTGGCGTGTGCCTGTAATCCCAGCTACTCAGGAGGCTGAGGCAGGAGAATTGCCTGAACCCAGGAGGCAGAGATTGTGGTGACCCGAGATTGCGCCATTGGACTCCAGCCTGGGTAACAAGAGCGAAACTCTGCCTCAAAAAAAAAAAAAGAATAAAAATAAAGAAGAGGTTTGAGGGTGACCACAGCAGAGGATGCATTTTCTGACAAGTGACAAGAGATAAGATTAGATAAAGAACTGAGTTGGCAGGGCGCAGCGGCAGCTCAAGCCTGTAATCCCAGCACTTTGGGAGGCCGAGGCGGGTGGATCACGAGGTCAACAAATCGAGACCATCCTGGTCAACATGGTGAAACCCCGTCTCTACTAAAAATTACAAAAGATTAGCTGGGCACGGTGGCGCGTGCCTGTAATCCCAGCTACTCAGGAGGCTGAGGCAGGAGAATTGCCTGAACCCAGGGGGCAGAGGTTGCGGTGAGCCGAGATCGCGCCATTGCACTTCAGCCTGGGTAACAAGAGCGAAACTCCGTCTCAAAAAAAAAAAAAGAACTCAGAGTTGCTGGGCACAGTGGCTCATGCCTATAATCCTTGCACTTTGGGAGGCTGAGGTGGGTGGATTGCTTAAGCTCAGGAATTTGAGACAAGCCTCGGCAACATGGCAAAACCTCGTCTCTAGTGCTAAAAATAAGGGCCAGGCAGGGTGGCTCAAGCCTGTAATCCCAGAACTTTGGGAAGGCAAGTTGGGCAGATCACTTGAGCTCAGGAATTTGAGACCAGCCTGGGGAACATAGCAAGACCCTGTCTCTAAAAAAATTAATTTTTAAAAAAATATGCAAAAATTAGTCGGGCATAGCGGTATATGCCTGTGGTCCCAACTACTCAGGAGGCTGAAGTGAGAAGATAGCTTGAGCCTGGGAGGCAGAGGTTGTAGTGAGCTATGATTGTGCCACTGCACTCCAGCCTGAGAGACAGAGTAAGACACTGACTCAAACAACAACAACAACAAAAAAAAAGCCAGAGTTGAAGCAGTAGGCAGTGGAAACTGAGTTACCAGGTTCATCAGCAGAGATGTGTTAAGAACAGAGGGGATTTTTTGTTTGTTTTGGGATTATTTGAGACAGGGTCTACCTCTGCCACCCAGGCTGGAGTACAATTGTGTGATTACAATTCACTATAGCCTTGACCACCTGGGATTAAGTGATCCTCCCACCTCAGCCTCCCAAGTAGCTGGGATTACAGGCCTGTACCACAATACTCAGCTAATTTAAAAAATTTTTTATAGAGACAGGGGTCTCACTATGTTACTCAGGCTGGTCTCAAATGCCTGGGCTCCAGCAATCCTCCTCCCTCAGCCTCCCAGTGTGCTGAGATCCCTGGCATGAGCCACTGTACCCAGCCAAGAACAGTCTTACACAGACTTTTCTGGCAGCAATATGCAGGTAGGAAAGGCTGCAATAGGAACCAAGCTAGGAGATAGTTAAGGGAACTAAGAGTCATATTACTATTGTGATATTCTAAAAAAGAAGTGGGCATTGCTATTTTTTTTTTTTTGAGACAGAGTGTCACTATGTTGCCCAGGCTAGAATGCAATGGCATGATCTTGGCTCACTGCAACCTCTGTCTCCTGGGTTCAAGTGATTCTTCTGCCTCAGCCCCCACAAATAGCTGAGGTTACAGGCACGCACCATCACGCCCGGCTAATTTTTGTATTTTTAGTAGAGACTGGATTTTACTATGTTTGCCAGGCTGGTCTCCAACTCCTGACCTCAGGTGAGCCACCACGCTCAGCGTGGTCATTACTATTGTGATTCTAAAAAAGGATCAGGAACCCTTTGTCTAGAAATATGAATTAGTAAACTTGGAATCTGAGGTTTAACTCTGAAGCTTGAAAATTTTTTACTTGCAAAGAATATTAAAAAGTCATGTCTGGGTATGATTACTGATTCACGCCTGTAATCTCAGCTCTTTGGGAGACCAAGGCAGGATGATTGCATGAGGCCGGAAGTTCAGCACCAGCCATTTTGCCCAGGCTGGTCTCGAGCTCCTGAGCTCAAGGGACCCTCCTGCCTTGGCCTCCCAAAGTGCTGGGTTTACAGGCGTAAGCCCCATCAGGCCTGGTCTTAACTATTATTTAAAGTAAAAACAATAGTACAGGTTGAATATCCCTAACCTGAAAATCTGAAATGCTCTAAAATCTGTAGCTTATTCAGTGCTGACATGATGCTCAAAGGAAATGCTCATGGGAGCATTTCAGATTTTGGAAGTTAGGATTAAGGGTGCTAAACCAATAAGTATATTCCACATATCCCTAAATCTGAAAAAAGATCTGAAATCTGAAACACTTGTGTTCTTAAGCATTTCACATAGGGATACTCAACATGTGTTTGCTTTTAAAAAAAGAAAAAAAATCACTCTGGAAAGAGGACGTAGGAAGCAGTAGCAGATATGGGGAGATCCCTTAGGAGGCCACTGTGATAGACTAGCTAAGAGGTGATGGTAGCTTGAGTAGGTAGGGACACGGAGCTAAAAGTGGACAGATACAAATGATATTTAGGTGGAAAAATTGCCAGGAACCTCATGATGGATTAAATACAGGGTCGTTGAGAAAGAATAAAAGGTGTCTTCTTAGGTTTCTGCCCTGGGCAACTGGATGAATGGAGATCCAGTTTGGTAGGAGTGAAAAGGGGTAGGGCAGGGGGAGATGCTCATGATTTTGTATGTAATCAATTGAAACCCAACTCTACTAAAAATATAAAAATTAGTTGGACATAGTGGTGCATGCCTGTAATCTCAGCTACTCGAGAGGCTGAGGCAGGAGAATCACCTGAACTTGGGAGTCGGAGGTTGCATTGAGCCACTCCAGCCTGGGGAACAGAGCAAGACTTTGTCTCGAAAAAAAAAGAACTGTTGATATAAAGAAAAAGAAATAGAGAATTATTGATGAAGGAGTGTCCAAGCATTAGATCAAACAATGGTAATGACACAGAAGACAAAGGAAGAAAGTGATTTATTTTTGTTTTAGTTTTGAGACAGGGTCTGGCTCTGTTGCCCAGGCTAGAGCACAGTGTTGCAATTACAGCTCACTGCAACCTCTGCCTCCTGGGCTCAAGCCATCCTCCCACCTCAGCCTCCTGAGTTGCTGGGACCTCAGGCACACACCACCACACACAGTTAATTTTTTTTAGAGATGGGATTTTGCCATGTTGCCCAGGTTGGTCTTGAACTCCTGAATTAAAGGGATGTGTCCTCCTTGGACTCTCAAAGTGCTGGAATTACAGACATGAGCTGCCACACCCCACCTGCATTAGCTGTTTCTAGGGAAGTGACGGGTTGGAACAGAGGCTATATTCCTATCCATCCTGCTCTTGGGCCAGCTCAACTCTTTTTTTATATTTATTTTGTACTGATTTGTTTGCCATAAGACTTCTTTGCAACAGGGCTAGCACAACTCTTGACTTTGTCTGCTTTTATCACTAGCCCTTTGGCCTCAGGACTGCCACCAATTCCTTCCCTTTTGTGGAATTGAGCCCTGGACCCACTGACCCCAATGCAGTGTATCAGATTAGTTTCAGCATCTTATCTGGATTTCTTTTACTTTTTCTGAGGCAATGAGATCAAAACCAAACAGGTGTAGTCTTGACAAGCTACTTTAGTAATCACCTAGGTATACTATATTTTCCTCTAGAAATCCCTGTCTCTCTCTATATATATACATATATATAAATATGTATATAGACATATATAAACGGAGAGAGGGAGAGGGATTTCTAGAGGAAAATATAAGTATTTATATATTTTTTTGAGACAGAGTCTCACTCCGTCACCAGGCACCAGGCTGGAGTGCAGTGGCATGATCTCAGCTCACTGCAACTTCTACCTCCCGGGTTCAAGCAATTCTCCTGCCTCAGCCTCCCGAGTAGCTGGGCTACAGGCATGTATCACCAAGCCCAGCTAATTTTTGTATTTTTAGTAGAGACGGGGGTTTCACCATGTTGGCGAGGATGGTCTCGATCTCTTGACCTTGTGATCCGCCTCAGCCTCCCAAAGTGCTGGGATTACAGGCATGAGGCACCGAGTCCGGCCTATATATATTTTTCATTTATTTTATTTTTTGAGACAGGGTCTTGGTCTGTTACCCAGGCTTACTGCAACCTCAGCATCCCAGTAGCTGGGACTACAGGCACACGCTATCACACCCAGCTAATTTGAGTAGAAATGTTGCAGTCTTACCAATGCACCTTAATATTAACAGTTTAACTTGTGAGGTATCACCCTGAGTTCTTTGTCTCACCTCCAACATGATATAGGAGCGTGCTCACAAGGATGAATTTGGAGCGAAAGTTTAATAAGCAAAAGGAGAAAGCTCTGTGGATTGCTTGGTTACATACAGCTGAATGCAAAATACTTCTGTAAGAAATTGCTCTCCTCCTTGTAATTGTTTCAATAACTTTTCTTACCAGTATAAAGCTGTCTTTGAAACTCCCTTTTTCCAACTGTGGGATTGTTTCTAAGCATAAAGTGCAGCTTCTCGTGTTTGTGTAACTGTGTGTTTGTTTTAGGTAAGTCCCCCTTCTTCCTGTGCAATTTCCCACGGAGCCCACTGTGTATATGCCTGAAAAGGGGAGGAAACTATACACAGGTTAGAGAGCTCCTGGAAGCTCACTAATTATATGAAGATCAGAAAGGCTTCTTTTTTTGTTTGTTTGTTTTTTGAGACAGTCTGGCTCTGTTGTCCGGCTGGAGTGCAGTGGTGCAATCTCGGTTCACTTCAACCTCCGACTCTTGGGTTCAGGCAGTTCTCCTGCCTCATCCTCTGGAGTAGCTGGGACTACAGACCCATGCCACCATGCCCAGCAAATTTTTGTGTTTTTAGTAGAGATGGAATATCACCATGTTAACCAGGATAGTCTCAATCTCCTGACCTTGTGATTTGCCTGCCTCAGCCTCCCAAAGTGCTGGGATTACAGGCATGAGCCACCACACCCAGCCATTTTTATTTCTGAAAATTGAATTCTCTAATATACTTCAATTTAAAAATCTGTGTTTCATTTATTAGAAATTTGTTAACCTCATATCATGGGTCAGGCACTGTGCTAGGCACTTGTTATTTCAAATTAAATAAGACATGGCTATGTCAAGAAGCTGGGAAAAAACTGGTACCTGTATATGCACACACATCCCTGTCTAGCTTTTTTCTCTTGATAAATGCATATACTTGTAAAATATCTAAATCTGAATGCAACTTCTTTGTGTGAAAAAGAAGGCCAAATCAATCTCTCTGGCTCAGACTATAATTAACAAGGTCTTTTAATGTATACTTTATGCAGCCTAGATGTTCCCTTTCTTTTTCACAATGCCTCTATAATTAAGAGGCAGATTTCCCCCCCAAAGAAGAGTGTTTTTTTCTGTGGTCCTAATCTGGATTCATAGATCTCAGCAAATCTGTGGATTTGTGTCTTTGTGTGTCCTTAAACATTCCATAATTATATGCAAAAGTGTGGAATTTGGTATACATGAGTGCTTTTCATATTTATTTTTAATCCAGAATGGATCAAAAAGAATAGTCGTGAAGGGTGTAGGTGCCAGACACAGGGCAGAAGGTAGCAGAAAAGTAGATCTTAGGGAATTTAGGGCCCCCTAGCCTCATTAATCTACAAACATGGCACAGGTGGCTTACCTTGCAAGGCCTCAGTGAAGGACGCCATCAATTCTTAAAATAGAAAGAGTTCTTAGTTTTTATTGAATTCTCAAAGGATTCTGTTACCCCAAAATATTAAGAATTATTGTACTATCAAAAAATTTGTTAGAGACAAGTACAGGCAACATAGGGAGACATTATCGGTACTAAAAATTAAAAAAAAAAAAATAGGGGTGTGGGGCTGGGCACAGTGGCTCACAACTGAAATCGCAGCACTTTGGGAGGCCAAGGTGAGTAGATCACCTGCGGTTGGAGTTTGAGACCAACCTGGCCAACATGGGAAACCATGCCTTTACTAAAAATGCAAAAATTAGCTGGGCGTGGTGGTACATACCTGTAATCCCATCTACTAGAGAGGCTGAGGCAGAATGGGTTGAACCTGGGAGTCAGAGGTTGCGGTGAGCCAAGATTGTGCCACTGCACTCCAGCCTTGGCCACAGAGCGAGACTCCTTCTCAAAAAAAAAAAAAAATGTTGGAGACCAGCCCAGGCAACATAGTGCCTCTACTAAAAATAAATATTAAAAAGTAGGGGTGTGGTGGCACACACCTGTAGTTGCAGCTAGCTACTCAGGAGGCTGAGGTTAGAGGATCCCTTGAGGCTGGAAGGTTGAGGCTGCAGTGAACTATGATTTTGCCACCACACTCCAGCCTAGGTGATAGAGCAAGACCCTGTCTCAAAAAACAAAAACAGGCCGGGCACGGTGGCTCACCCCTATAATCCCAGCACTTTGGGAGGCTGAGGCAGGTGGATCACGAGGTCAAGAGATCGAGACCATCCTGGTCAACAAGGTGAAACCCCATCTCTACTAAAAATACAAAAATTAGGTGGGCATGGTGGTGTGCGCCTATAGTGCCAGCGACTGGGGAGGCTGAGGCAGGAGAATTGCTTGAACCCAGGAGGCGGAGGTTGCGGTGAGCCGAGATCGTGCCATTGCACTCCAGTCTGGGTAACAAGAGCGAAATGCCATCTCAAAAAAAAAAAAAACACAAACTGATTAGGTTTTGGTTTATGACTATTTAACATCATTTACTTTTTAGATGTTTTCACTAAAGGAAAGGGAAATTAAAGATACAATATGTACTTCTCTAATTTTAATCAATACGGTTTTTTTAAGAGACCTGCAAATCAATATCAATACAATTTTTATATGAATACAATATTTGAAGCTGACACTTAAACATTAAAATTTGTTTTTACTTAACAGTATTGTGATCATGCTATGTTTTTTGTTTGTCTTTAGTACCAGGACCCTCTGGTGATAATGGCATCAGTGTTAATATGATCTTAGTGGCCTGGATGGTTATTGCATTGATCTTGTTCTTACTGAGACCTCCTAATCTAAGAGGATCAAACCTACCTGGAAAGCCAACCAGTCCTCATAATGTAAGTGTTGCCGATTTTAAATGGTTTTTGGGTAAGGGAATGTATGTGGCCTAAGGCAGGGAAGCACTTTGTTTTGACTAAAATGTCTAAATTGGCACAAGGAACATTTAACTCATAGAGTATTCTACCTGTGTAGTTCTATTAAATCTTGCAGTTTAGAGCTGGGCGCAGTAGCTCATGCCTGCAGTCCCAGCACTTTGGGAGGCCAAGGCAAGTGGATCACCTGAGGTCAGGAGTTTGAGACCAGCCTGGCCAACATGGCGAAACCCCATCTCTACCAAAAATACAAAAATCAGCTGGGTGTGGTGGTGCGTCCCTGTAATCCCAGCTACTTGGGAGGCTGAGACGGGAGCATCGCTTGAACCCAGGAGGTGGAGGTTGCAGTGAGCTAAGATCACGCCACTGCACTCCAGCCTGGGTGACAGAGCAAAACTCTGTCACAAAAAAAAAAAAAAAAATGTTGTGGTTCCAAGATTTAATTGATGGCTTAATTTTTGTGGAGTTAAATATAGAAAGAAGCAGACTAGACGCCCAAAAATAATTTTAAAATGAATTCCAATTTTTTTTTTTTTTGAGACAGGGTCTTGTTTTGCCTCTCAGGCTCAAGTTATCCTCCCACCTCAGCCTCCCAAGTAGCTGGGACCACAGACATGCAGTAGCATGCCTGGCTAGTTTTTTGTGGTTTTTTTTTTTTGTAGAGACGGGGTTTTGCCAGGTTGACCAGGCTTGAATTCCAATCTTTACTCACATGAGAAGCATGAAAAATAATCCATTTCATAACCCACAGCAGTATTGCTTAAATCTGAACTCTCCACTGCCCAGTTCTGTCTGCCTCACAGTTGACCCCTTGCCTCTCATACTCAGCCCCTAAACTTTCAGTAGCTTCAGTTCAAATGTTTGACCCCCTTCTGTCCTACCTATTCAGTAGAGACACTGAGCCTATTTTATTTTATTTTCCTCATTTTCCCATCCTATTTCTCTCAAACCTGTTTTCCATTTCTGCATCATGGTAAATCAGCTGACTGGCAAAAGGAGAGTTCGAAATCATTCATGTTGATAAATCTTGACAGTCACGATTACAACCATTTTTAGAACCTTCTAAGTTAAAACTATGATAAAGTGACCCAACAGGGAGTTTTCAGTACTATCTTTAATAGAACCTCTGTTGGCCAGGTATGGTGGCTCACGCCTATAATCCCAGCCCTTTGGGAGGCCAAGGCAGAAGGATCACCTGAGCTCAGGAGTTCAAGACCACCCTGGCCAACATGATTTTAGTAGAGACAAAAACTCTGTCTCTACTAAAATACAAAAAATTAGCTGTATGTGGTGGCATGCACATGTAGTCCCAGCTACTCGGGAGGTTGAGGCATGAGAATTGCTTGAGGTTGGGAGGCAGAGGTTGCAGTGGGCCAAAAAAAAAAAAAAAAAAAGAACCTCTGATAAAGGAAAGGATTCCTTTTAGTCCTTTTCAGAACCAGTATTTATGTGTTTTTTTTTTTAACACTGGATTTTAATATTATCTCTTTAAAAATATTTCCATACATAGGTGAATTACCTCATTTTAGCGATTCTACAAATGTATACATATTTCAAAACCTGTTGTACTTGACAAATATATACAATTTTTGTCAGTATAAATGTTAAAATTTATAATAAAAAACTATAAGATGACAGCATCAAAAAATAAAGGAAATTTTTGATAGATTTGCTTTTTTTTTTTTTTTTTTTTTTTGAGAGTCTCATTCTGTTGCCCAGGCAGAGTGTAGTGGTACAATCTCGACTCACTGCAGCCTCTGCCTCCCAGTTTCAAGCGATTCTCCTGCCTCAGCCTCCCAAGTAGCCAGGATTATAGGGACATACCACCATGTCTGGCTAATGTTTATATTTTTAGTAGAGATGATATTTCACCATGTTGGCCTGGCTGGTCTCGAACTCCTGACCTCAGGCACTCCGGTGTTGGCCTCCCAAAGTGTTGGGATTACAGGCGTGAGCCACCGCGCCTGGCCAGATTAACTTGTTGAATACCAACCAGATTATCCCCCTAATTCTCTTCTCCAAATTTTACCATGTGGAATTCCTAAAATAATTGTTTCTTTTCTCCAATGTTGTGGTGTTGATATTAGAAACTCAGCTAGACTCATTTTTTTTATATAAGAGAAAGCAAATGTGCAGTGTTAATTGGTCAATGTTTTGTTTTTTTTTTTTTTAAGTACATTTAGAAATGTAGCACAGAATGAAAAAATATCAAAAAGAAAAACACGACGGTTCTGGGCGGGGGTCTGGGGAGGGCAGCAACAATGGTGGGCCACCTCGTGCTCTACAACGGCGCCAAGATGCCCATCCTCGGGCTGGGCACCTGGAAGTCCCCTCCAGGCCAAGTGACCGAGGCTGTGAAGGTGGCCATCGACGTTGGGTACCGCCACATCGACTGTGCCCATGTGTACCACAGTGAGAATGAGGTGGGGGTAGCCATTCAGGAGAAGCTCAAGGAGCAGGTGGTGAAGCGTGAGGAGCTGTTCATCGTCAGCAAGCTGTGGTGCACGTACCATGAGAAGGGCCTGGTGAAAGGAGCCTGCCTGAAGATGCTCAGCGACCTGAAGCTGGACTACCTGGACCTCTACCTTATTCACTGGCCAACTGGCTTTAAGCCTGGGAAGGAATTTTTCCCATTGGATGAGTCAGGCAACGTGATTCCCAGTGACACCAACATTCTGGACACGTGGGCGGCCATGGAAGAACTGGTGGATGAAGGGCTGGTGAAAGCTATTGGCATCTCCAACTTCAACCATCTCCAGGTGGAGAGGATCTTAAACAAACCTGGCTTAAAGTATAAGCCTGCAGTTAACCAGATTGAGTGCCACCCATACCTCACTCAGGAGAAGTTAATCCAGTACTGCCAGTCCAAAGGCATTGTGGTGACCGCCTACAGCCCCCTAGGCTCTCCCGACAGGCCCTGGGCCAAGCCCGAGGACCCTTCCCTCCTGGAGGATCCCAGGATCAAGGCGATCGCAGACAAGCACAATAAAACCACAGCTCAGTTGCTGATCCGGTTCCCCATGCAGAGGAACTTGGTGGTGATCCCCAAGTCTGTGACACCAGAACGCATTGCTGAGAACTTTAAGGTCTTTGACTTTGAACTGAGCAGCGAGGATATGACCACCTTACTCGGCTACAACAGGAACTGGAGGGTCTGTGCCTTGGTGAGCGCTGTCTCCCACAAGGATTACCCCTTCCATGAAGAGTTTTGAAGCTGTGGATGCCTGCTCATCCCTGAGTGACCTATACCTGTGTTTCCTGCCTCATTTTTTTCCTTGTAAATGTAGTATAGCCTGTGTCATTCAGCAGTGGGACAGCAGCTTATAGAGTGGCCAGCGAGAGCGTGTCTGGCTTGATGTTGGATCTCACGAAGCCTGCCCATAGAGTAGAAGTCTCTTCCAGTTTGCTTTGCCCTTCTCTTTGCCCCACTGGGGAAAGTACAACCTGAATACCCTTTCTGACCAAAGAGAAGCAAAATCTGACAAGTCAAAATGGTGCCACTAACAGCTGAGTTTTGACTGCTTGGACTGTAATCCTTTCAGCAAGACTTCTCTTTGCCTCAAATAAAAAGTGCTTTTGTGAGTTAAAAAAAAAAAAAAAGAAAAACACATACACATACAAGATATGTAGCATGCTAATTTAAAGAAGGCATTATTAGCACTACATACATAAATAAAAGCCTTACATTTATTTTTGTTTTTTCTTGGAGAAAAGAGTATTTACAAAACAGCTTGCATATTGTCTTGATAAAGTGTTTATTCCTTACCCTTTTCCCCTTTTTTCTTACTTTCTTTGTATAGCTTTGTTACTCCCACACCACCCCCACCCCCACCGGAGTTGTTCAGGTCCATCTTAGAGCATAGCTTTGTTACTTTCATATCAAAGAATAACTTCCTCAATGTTTGGAGCTAAAGAAACAGAACTCTTGGCCAGGCGCAGTGGCTCAGGCCTGTAATCCCAGCACTTTGGGAGGCCAAGGCAGACAGATCATGTCTGGTGATCGAGACCATCCTGGCTAACGTGGCGAAGCCTCATCTCTACTAAAAATGCAAAAAATTAGCCGGGGGTGGTGGCACGTACCTGTAAGTCCCAGCTACTCGGGAGGCTGAGGCAGGAGAATTGCTTTAACCCAGGAGGCAGAGGTTGCAGTGAGCCGAGGTTACACCACCGCACTCCAGCCTGGATGACAGAGTGAGACCATCTCAAAAAAAAAAAAACCCACTAAAATGACAAATGCAAGATTACACTATCCTGGACCTTAATTCATTGTAGGCCCATGTTTCTAGAAATAGTAGTTCCAACATCTTCGGAATAAGTGAGAAAATGTATTGAGACTAATTCCAAGTAGAAATATTGATCACCCCCAACTTGGACCTCATATGTCATGTCAGGGTAAATAAATAAAATCTTGAAGAATCTTAAAAACTCTGATTTTTCCTTTACCATTCACTTGCTGTCTATTACAAGTTAACAAAAGTCAATTCGAAGTTGCTTAAAACAAGTGGCTTCATTTGTTTACACATCAAAAAAATTCAGAGATAGGGTCAGTGTTAAGAAAGTTTAACAGTGTATCAAAGACCTAGTTTCTTTCCTCATACCATCAGCTTCATTCCAAGACGGGCTCTTCTTAGGGTCATAGGGTGACTGCCGGAAGCAACTGCAGCCACATGCTTTCTTGTGGATATCAGTATTGAGAAACAGAAGTTCCTAGCTTCATTTTAAATATATAGTACTTTGCTTAGCCAATCACTTTAGCAAGAGGGATGAAGATACTTTTGTTGGTTTGAAGACCACTCCACAGGCTAGCAGGAGTGATCACGTCACTCTTACACAAATTCTTGCTCTCTTCCATACTACAGGGAAAAAGGAGACAAATGTTGGAGAATCACAGTGTTATTTAATCTAGTGTTCCCTCATGTAAAACATAGGAAAAGTCCAAATAAGCATGTAACTGGGATGGGAGGGTGGGGGCATTGCTGCTCAGTTCTTTCTTACATGTTAGGTTGGTTGCACTGGGAATTAATAAGTCAACTTTTAAAAAAGTAACAAAAATTTAAAATTTTTAAAAAGTCAATTACATAATTTATTTCTTTCTCATGCCAGGGACAAGATCCACCAGCTCCTCCTGTGGACTAACTTTGTGATATGGGAAGTGAAAATGGTGAACACCTTGCACGACCAAACGAATGAAGATGACCAGAGTACTCTTAACCCCATTAGAACTATTTTTCCTTTTGCATCTGCAATATGGGATGGTGTGTTTTCATGAGCTTCTAGAAATTTCACTTGCAAGCTTATTTTTGCTTCCTGTGTTATCACCATTCCTATTTACAGTATATTTGAGTGAATGATTATATTTTTAAAAAGTTAATGGCTTTTTGTTTGTCTTAAACTTAAACATTCCTCTCACTCTGTTTATAACTGTGATTATAATTTTTGTGGTAATTTCTGGCCTGATTGAAGGAAATCTGAGAGCTCTGCATTTATATATTTTAAATAGTTTTGATAGGTTTTTAAATTGCTTTTTTTCATAAGGTATTTATAAAGTTATTTGGGGTTGTCTGGGATTATATGAAAGAAAATTAGAACCACAGTGTATTTACATTTACCTTGGTAGTTTATTTGTGGATGGCAGTTTTCTCTAATTTCTGGGACTGTGGTAGCTCTTGGATTGTTTTGCAAATTACAGCTGAAATCTGTATCATCCATTAAACTGGCTTATGTGGCTAGAATAGGAAAACAGAAAAAATATATAAAATGGTTGTTTACTAATTTTATACTCCCATTAAAAATCTCTAATGTTAACAAAACTTTAAATAAACATGATTGATCAGTATGGCACATGATTTACAGTCCATTATATAACATTTGTAAACCACTCAACACTAGCCTTACAAGGTTCATGAAAGGAGGAAAACATTAATTCTTTCTGCCTTTGCTGTGATATAATCTATACAGTAATAATTGAAGCTGTAATTTATTTTTAAAATGAGTGCCTCTTGGGAAGCTTCTTTTCTGTTGTAGGCTGGATGTGGTGGCTCATTACTGTAATCCCAGCACTTTGGGAGGCCAAGGCAGGCAGATCACTTGAGGTCAGGAGTTCGAGACCATCCTGGCCAACATGGTGAAATCCTGTCTCTACTAAAAATACAAAAATTAGCCAGGGGTGGTGTGTATGCCTGTTACCCAGCTACTTGGGAGGCCGAAGCAGGAGAATCACTTGAACCCAGGGGGCAGAGGTTGAGGTGAGCTGAGATCATGCCACTGCTCCAGCCTGGGTGACCAGTCACGACTCCCTCTCAAAAAAAATTTTTTTTAATCTTAAAGCTATATTAGGGCCTGTTAGGTTACTGACATTTGAATGCCTCTTTGCTTATTTACTCCATTGAGTCTTTTGTTACCCTCTGACCTATAAAAAATTTTAATAAATTACTGGTTTACTCCAAGGGAAAAGGAGGAAAATGAGAAACAAGCATCTTTTCTTCACCCCTTATCTCATTCCTGTTTGCTAATAGGATGGATTCAGTGGGAATTAATATTAATATGAGAGAAATTTTGAAATATATAAAAAAGTAAAAGGTTGTATTGTTTTGTTCAGTTTGAAATAAAGTGAATACCAAAAGCACTTACAAATGTCTGCATGGGCCTGGCATGGTGGCTTATGCCTGTAATCCCAGCACTTTGAGGCCAAGGCAGGTGAGCCACCGGAGGTAGGAGTTTGAGATCAGCCTGGCCAACATGGTGAAACCCCATCTCTACTAAAAATACAAGAATTAGCCAGGTGTGCTGGTGTGTGCCTGTAATCCCAGCTACTAGGGAGGCTGAGGCAGGAAATCGCTTGAACCCAGGAGGTGGTTGCAGTGAGCTGAAATCTCACTGCTGCACTCCAGCCTGGGTGACAGAGTGAGACTCCGTCTCAATAAAAAAAATAAAAATGTCTGTATGACCCATGTAGTTATGAAATTTTGTTCTAGCAAATGATTGCAGATGATTTATGGGGGCTAGAAGATACTTTGCTGTCAAGGTAAAGTTTTTTTTTCCTTAGGTCAGTCTATTCACTGTATAGATCTGGTAAATTACTTGTATGAATTGAATAAATTCTCTGTATCATTGTATTGTTTAATAGTCTCTCATACAATTGTGATACTCATAAGGTATTTTCCCCCTTTATTATGATTACATTCTAGACCATAAACATTGTAAGGGCATTTTTTCATTATAGAATCTAATATCGATTGCCTGAATTCCTCCTTATACATCTTGGCTTTGTGCTCAATTTCTTGAAATGATATAACCAACTCTAAATTACTTGTGTTAATAGATGGGTAAGTTAAATCCTGGATAAATGAACCCCACAGAATAAAGGTTTTTCCTCTTGCTGGGGCCTACTGGAAGCCTTCCTAACTTTATAGCTGGTAAAGTAGAGTAGAAAGAGCCAGAGTGGCTTAAGATAGAGCTAAATCCCTATAGGATTCCATTTTCTGCCTTTGCCTCTTGAACTTTGAAGGCTTGCCCATATATCCTAACAATCTGTTCTCTGAGCTGCTAGAAGGCCAATCCCTGATAAGAGATACTGATGTATTGATGTAGTCACTGAATCTGTGGCTCACAAATCATTGATAATTGGCTTTGGGGGCTGGGTGCAGTGACTCATGCCTGTAATCCCAACACTTTTGGAAGGCTGAGGCGAGTGGATCACTTGAGGTCAGGAGTTTGAGACCAGCCTGGCCAACATGGTGAAAACTTATCTCTACAAAAAATACAAAAATTAGCTGGGTTTGATGGCAGCTGCCTGTAGTCTCTGCTACTTGGGAGGCCGAAGCAGTAGAATCACTTAAGCCCGGGAGGCAGAGGTTGCAGTGAGCCAAGATCACGCCACTGCACTCCAGCCTTAGTGACAGAATGAGACCCTGTCTTAAAAAATAAGAATTGGCTTTAGTCGAAGAAGTGGCTGAAACTTGAATACAGAATGTCTCGTATTAGACACCTGAAAATCTGAATTCTTTGTTGTTGTTTTGAGATGAAGTTTTGCTCTTTCACCCAGGCTGGAGTGAAGTGCTACGATATTGGCTCACTGCAACCTCCACCTCCTGGTTCAAGTGATTTTCCTTCCTCAGCCTCCTGAGTAGCTGGGATTATAGGTGCCCACCACCATGCCTGGCCAATTTTTGTATTTTTAGTAGAGATGGGGTTTTGTCATGTAGGCCAGCCTGGTCTTGAACTCCTGACCTCAGGTGATCCACTCACCTTGACCTCCCAAAGTGCTAGAATTACAGACATGAGCCACTGCGCCCAGCTGGAAAGTCTGGCTTCTTATTCCTAGTTCTTCATTTCTGTCACATGCACTTAATTGACATTATGTCTACATATATTAGCCTTTTCCTACATGAACCACGTATTTACTTAGTAACCAGTGTTCTTAATGAAGTATTTAGTCTTGGATTTCTTGTAAAATTTCTCTGCATTCCTGAGACAGTGTACTATATATAAAATATTCTTGTTGACCTAGTAATTTATATCGTTCAAGCTTCTACCTGTGGCCTTTTTATTGAGCACACTCTTAATCATCATTTGGCTTGTAAACATTCACCTGAACTGTGACTACAATTGTTTTTAAATAATCTGGGAAAAAGGAAAGATAAAGCTTACATTTTCACAGTTTTGGCTCTTAAACACATTCCACAAATGTCATTAAAAATTTGTTTTAGGTCAGTCATGGTGGTTTATGCCTATAATCCCAGCAGTTTGGAGGCTGAGGCAGGAGAATTGCTTGAGCCCAAGAGTTTGAGACTAGCCTGGGCAATATAGCAAGACTCTGTCTCTACTAAAAAAAAAAAAAAAAAATTTTGTTTTAGAGTCATTTAATGTATTTTTATGCACAAAAATTGTGGGAGGTTTTGTTTTTGTTTTTTGCTTTCCATGTGGGAAGGTTAACTTTGGAACTGTTTCTAGTAAAAGATTTTTTTCAGATTGGGTGTGGTGGCTCATGCCTGTAATCCCAGCACTTTGGGAAGCCAAGGCAGTTGGATTACCTGAGGTTAGGAGTTCAAGACCAGCCTGGCCAACATGGAAAAACGCCATCTCTACTAAAAATACAAAAGCAGCCAGCTGTGCTGGTACATGCCTGTAATCCCAGCTACTTGGGAGGCTGAGGCAAGAGAATCACTTGAACCTGGGAGGCCTGGAGGTTGCAGTGAGCCAAGATCATGCCATTGCATTCCATCCTGGGCAACAAGAGTGAAACTTTGTCTCAAAAAAGAAAAAGAAAAAAAAAGAATTTTCTTCATGTTATCTATCCAAGCACTGTCCCATGGTCAGCAAGTCATATTTTACAATGTGGATTTTCCAAAATAATTATTGAGTACAGCTATTGTATGGCTTCTTTTAGTGTCTCTCTGTTATGTGGTAGTGTTTATGGAATTACCAATATCTTAAATTTTCAAAGGAACCTTGGAAGTCTATCACTCTAAATGAAAGTCTGTCACTCTACATAAATATGTGCTCAAATTTGACCAATTCAGTTTAAGACACAAAATGGTAATTTGAAGAACAAAAAATGAAGAGTTTACAATTAATGGGTTAAATTTTTGTTGTTGCAATAGTAAGTTTAGTCTTCTTTTAATATTTCTAAATGAAAAACGATAGGTATTTGTTACCATGTGTGAAGATTACTTTGTTAAAAGCAAAGTGTGATGTGCTAAATGTTAATTACTGTTTTTATATGTTTAAATCATGCCAAACAAATCATGTCTGTGCCATCCAGGGTCTATTGTTAGTCTTTTTCTGAGTACTTGGATTGGGGTAAAGGGCTTGTACTATGCACTTTTTATTAATGAATAAATAGAAAACGTTAGTAACACTTTTTGTTTTCTGTTTGCCTTTTGTGGGAAGAGAAGCGTCTTTTGCTTCGTAGATGTTAACATCCTGCATTAATGTCTTTGTAAGACCTAATTAAAGACATTCCTAAGAGAACTTAAGTTTTAAGAAAAGTTGGGAGAAAAATACTTATAAAATATGCAGTATGGGGCCAGTATTCAGAAGTAGAGCTTCTCTCTTGGAAATTAGATTGCAGTCACATTTCTTTGGTTATTTTCTTTCTCTCTCTCTTCCTAGAATACCAGGTAAAATAGACATTTGCTTTGAGGGGCTGATAGCCAATACTGTTAATTATTTGAGCAGACATACCTTCCTCAAAAGGAGCTAGACATGTCACTGTACTGAAAACACAAGAGAAAATTTACTTCTGTGACCTGGAATGTGTCCAGACATTAAATATCACTGATACTCATACATGTAAAAATAGTAACATTGCTCTGGCATGATTTTGATGTCAGTGTGTATGTGATAACTTAAGTGTTATTTAAAATAGATACATTTGTGAAATAACGATTTCCAGGAGACAGTCAACTTTTTATGATTCAATCTGAAGATAGGTACATGTCAATGGATATCTGAATCCTCAGTAAAACTGTATAACTTTTTATTAAATGACTCTGCTGCAGTACTAGTTTTCCTCTCATAAAATGGAATTCAAGTAAGTTTCTTGCTTTCTGGCATTTCTCCTGATGATTTTCTCCGTTCTACATCTCAATCTGTAGAGTTGTTGGGGTCTTTCCCCCCCCAAAAGATGCTCCATAAACACCAACTGCGATTCTCTTTCATGATCGTATTTTTAAAAATTGGAGTTACCAGTATGATCATCTCGCATTAGTTGCTTGTCAGTGACTTTAGTGTGGATGTATCTTCCTAAACAAATGTATTATGTTCATTCAGTAAAGATTTCAACAAATTTTTATATTTGTTGCTTAACTTTCTATAAATGGATTTTATTCAGGATTAGATTATGGAAACCATTTAAAACCATCACATGCCAAATTAAGATGTCTACTGAAGTTAGTGGGGAGATGTTTGGGAGGCAAGGATTATGTAGGGGTGAAAACAATATATGTAGTTTTAAGGCTAAAACAACTTTTTTTTTTTGAGACAGGGTCTTCCTCTTGTCACCCAGTCTGGAGTACACTGGCACAATCTCTGCTCACTACAGCCTCTGCCCCCCAGGTTCAAGTGATTCTTCTGCCTCAGCCTCCTAAGTAGCTGAGATTACAGGCATGCACTGCCACGCCCAGCTGAGTTTTGTATTTTCAGTAGAGATGGGGTTTTACCATCTTGGCCAGGCTGGTCTTGAACTCCCACCCTTGTGATCCACCCACCTCAGCCTCCCAAAGTGCTGGGATAACAGGCGTGAGCCACCACACCTGGCCAGGATAAAGTAACTTTCATATCAATACATGTTTTATTGGGAGGTGGGAGGATCATTTGATGCCAGGATTTCAGGACCAGCCTGAGCAACATAGACTCTGTCTCTACAAAAATAAAATAAAACAGCAGAGCCAGGCTTTCTGGCTCATGCCTGTAATCCCAGCACTTTGGGAAGCTGAGGTGGGTGGATCACAAGGTCAGGAGATCAAGACCAACCTGGCCGACATGGTGAAACCTCGTCTCTACTAAAAAAAAAATAGAAAAATTCGTTGGGTGTGGTAGCACACATCTGTAGTCCCAGCTGCTTGGGAGGCTAAGGTAGGAGGATGGCTTAAGCCCAGTAGTTCCAGGCTACTGTGAGCTGTGATTGCACCACTGCACTCTAGCCAGGGCAACAGAGCCAGACTCTGAGTCAAAAAGAGAACTTCTTTTTTCTTTTTTTTTTTCCCCAAGTTTTTGTGAAAGAAAAAATAAAAAATTTTAAGAGTACTATTTGCTTAAACAAATCTCTACTTATTTATAGGAAGTTTAGGAATTAGAAAAGTATTGTTTGTAATGCCTGGAATGCAAGACATGTGCTCATAACCTCAGATACTCAGTCTATACTTGATGATTAATGGTTTTGAATTGCAGTATGTATTAGCTTTGAAAATTTGACCAGAATTAAACACAAATACCACACAGCAGATTCAACATTATACAAAAAGCCTCTTACATTGTTTTTAAATAAATGAATCTGTTATGTATGTAATTCAGTCAGTGTCAAAGGGAGAGGCACTTTATATGAAAAGGCATCTCAGACCCTGAGTCGAATGCAGCATTTCATGACAATTAATTAGTATGTAAACAAATATTGGAAATTTAGTTGTGCTTAAAGGGGCTTCCTTACAATTAATCCAGCCAGGACAATTTTGTGGTTACAAAATATAGGACAGATGGAAATCTGACACCAGACCCTATACCCCCAACAAATGGGTTAAGATTTATATCCTTGCAAATGTTGTTAGTCTTCATTTTTATCTAACAGCTTTTTTTTGAGATAGAGTCTCACTTTGTCACCCAAGCTGGAATGCAGCAGCACCATTAAGGCTCACTGCAGCCTGGACCTCTGGGGCCCAAGCTATTCTCTGCCTCAGCCCCACAAGCAGCTGGGACTACAGGTGCACCCCACCACACCAGGCTAATTTTTGCAGAGATGGGGTTTTATCATGCTGCCCAGGCTGGTCTCCAGCTCCTGCGCTCAAGTGATCCTCTTGCCTCAGCCTCCCAAAATGCTGACATTACAGGGCGTAAGCAACCTGGCAACATTTTCTTAGAAATTACATTTTACTTTGCTTTATTTCACATTACACTTACATCCACATCTTCACATCTTTCCAAAGAGTTTCACTAGTAACTGCCTGTTGAAAGCTCATAGTCTCAAACTTCAAGCATGATACTGCAAGCCAAAGCTAAATTAGAAAATCCACAGCTTAAGAAAACCTTGGGCTAAATAAGGTAATATTGTAAATTTTAGTTTCTCCATTGAAGAATGGATAGGACTTACTATTTTCTTCCTTCATAACATCCAAGGAATTTTTTCTTTCTTTTTCTTTTTTTTTTTAAGACGTAGTTTTGCTCTTGTTACCCAGGCTGGAGTGCAGTGGCGCGATCTCAGCTCACCGCAACCTCCGACTCCTGGGTTCAGGCAATTCTCCTGCCTCAGCCTCCCGAGTAGCTGAGATTACAGGCAAGCGCCACCATGCCCAGCTAATTTTTTGTATTCTTAGTAGAGACGGGGTTTCCCCATGTTGACCATGATGGTCTGTATCTCTCGACCTCGTGATCCACCGGCCTCGGCCTCCCAAAGTGCTGGGATTACAGGCTTGAGCCACCGCACCTGGCCGATTTTTTTCATTGTGTCACAATATTTTAAAAGCTGAGGCCGGGCCCAGTGGCTCACTCCTATAATCACAGCACTTTGGGAGGCCGAGGCAGGTGAATCACGAGGTCAATAGATCGAGACCATCCTGGTCAACAAGGTGAAACCCCGTCTCTACTAAAAATACAAAAATTAGCTGGGCATGGTGGCGCGCGCCTGTAATCCCAGCTACCCGGGAGGCTGAGGCAGGAGAATTGCTTGAACCCAGGAGGCGGAGGTTGCGGTGAGCCGAGATCGCGCCATTGCACTCCAGTCTGGGTAACAACAGCGAAACTCCCGTCTTAAAAAAAAAAAAAAAAACTGAATCACAGTTACACCTATCTAAGTGTCCACTGGCAGTGGCTAATTCCTTGTGCCCTCTTGTATTAATAATTCCCTGATGCTAATCTCTAATAGCATTAAAGATATTCAAAGAGGGCCAGGCACTGTGGCTTCCGCCTGTAATCCGAGCATTTGTGAGGCTGAGGCAAGAGGATCCCTTGAGCCCAGGAATTAGGAGACCAACCTGGGCAACATAGTGAGACCCTGTCTCTATTTGTAAAAAAAAAAAAAATTTATAAAATTAAAAAAAAGATATTCAAAGAGTTTTGAGTAAAGAAAGATAGCTAACAGTTGTAACCCTTTATCACTTCTGCTATAATTTTCATTACATAAATGCCCTAACACAGTGACTCATAGTTCCCTTAATCAACTGTTCATCAAATTCTTAACTTCTGTTTTCATTGTAGCAGTTTTATCATTTGCATTACAAACATTTAGTATTCTGTCAATTTTTTTTTTTTTTTGAGATGGAGTCTCTATCTGTCGCCCAGGCTGGAGTTCAGTGACACGATCTCAGCTCACTGCAACTTCGGCCCCCCACCCCGGGTTCAAGCACTTCTCCTGCCTCAGCCCCCTGAGTAGCTGGGACTACAGGCACCTACCACCACACCTGGCTAATTTTTTTTTAGTTTTAGTAGAGATGGGGTTTCACTGTGTTAGCCAGGATGGTCTCTATCTCTTGACCTCGTGATCTGCCTGTCTCGGCCTCCCAAAGTGCTGGGATTACAGGCGTGAGCCACCATGCCCACCAACCTATTTTTTATTTTAAAAAATTGGGCTGGGCATGGTGGCTCACGCCTGTAATCCCAGCACTTTGGGAGGGTGAACAGATCACTTGAGACTAGAAGTTTGAGACCAGCCTGGCCAACATGATGAAACCCTGTCTCTACAAAAAATACAAAAATAAGCTGGGTGTGGTGCATGCTTGTAATCTCAGCTGCTAGGGAGGCTGAGGCACGATAATCACTTGAATCCAGGAGGCAGGGGTTGCAACAAGCTGAGATCATGCCTGCTGCACTCTAGCCTGGGCAACAGAGGGAGACTCCCTGGGCAACAGAGCAAGACTCTGTCTCAAAAAAAAAAAAAAGGCTGGGCACAGTGGAGGCTGGGGCAATTGTTTCTCTTGAACCCGGAAGTTTGAGACCAGCCTGGACAACGTGGCAAAACTCTGTCTCTACAAAAATATTTTTAAAATTATCCAGGCATGTTGGAGCATGCCTGTAGTCCCAGCTACTCAGAAGGCTGAGGTGGGAGGATCACATGAGTTCGGGGACGTTATTAAGGCTTCAGTGAACAGTGATGATTCACTGCACTACAGCATGGGTGACACAGTGAGACCTTGTCTCAAAAATAAGTAA